GTACAATGTAGAGAAAAACAAAAGCAATAGGTTGAATGCCTAAAGGCATTCACCCAATGAGGAATTTTTAATTTCATTATGAAGAGGAAACCTCAAATAGTACTTAAATATTGCCATTTCCCAAGTGGAAAAACAAAACAAAAACTTTGCTAGCTCACAAGGAAAATGTCAAAATTTTGAGGGATTTTTCCTCAAAATCGTATTTTTTGTTACTGCTCAAAAGAAGTGCTTAAAATTTGTTTTCATGACTGTTTGTCCACAGTTCATTCAAATGAAACACTGATAAGGCATTTATCTGTTATATTTTGAATTAATTTTATTTTTGTTAGTGTTTTAATCAAAACACCATGTTTGCCTAATTCTCCATATCACTTTCAGTCAGCCTTGATCCTCGTTTTGATAYGAAGGGTCACAAACATGTTTGAGTTTAAAAGAAAAGCAGGAGAGCTTTTTGGGGGCGTGGTGCTTAATTCGAGCGCATGCGCAAAGGAGTAAGTGAAAACACGCCGCGCGTGCTCTCTCTGTAATAATATTACCACATTACGTTTTATATTGTCGCTCAGTGACTAATCCTGTTAACTGTGACCCTGAAGGGGAATCGAACACCCAACATTTCCATTGGAAGACCACCAACCCTGAACTGGAGTGGCGGGGACGTGGTGGTCTGAGGTCAGGGGGCTTGGCTCGGATGAATAACGCGTGCGGACGGTCCGTTCCAGAGGTTACACCGTCGGTACACAACAACATTAGAGTATCGACAACTGACAGACCACCGCGGTGGGAACAGTCCGTATTTGTTTACGTCACACAAACACGCCGTACTATACATTCCAGAGCACATGTTTACCAGAAATAACACAAAACACAACCGATAAGACCAAAAGCTGGATCCACTGACCTTGTAAGAATCCGTGGCGAGCAGGAAATTAAAATCCTGTGGTAGATCCATGCTGAAAATGAATGTATTTGAGTGGAAATGTCTCTCCGTCTCCCCAGTTCAGATGACCTGAAGCACAGAAAATTCTGATTTATCAAAGGAGAGCTCTGAGCTGAGACAGAAGGAGAAAAAAGTTACTTAATGATGATTTAATCCACGCGCATCTCCACGAAAACCACTCAAACGGTAAAATAATAAACAGGCACTTTAGTAGAGGGGAAATGGGGCGGGGCGTGCTTTGTGTTGCGTTCAGGCACAGGTCGGATTTTATCTGTTTGTTTATTGGTTTTATTTTTTTCTTCTTATTTTGCTAATTAGCTGTGGCCCATGTGCCGAGCTTAATCCTATGTACAGAGTTGCTCTGTGTGAAAAGGTATGTCGTTGATATTGTCCCCCAAACAACTYAAAAATATATAGTTAATAAGAAAACAGTTGGAACCTTGTTCTTTACATCCAGAGCCCTATAGAGATCCAGAGCCCTATAGAGACTCTATAGAGCTCTGATTACATCACTTCCTTCTCCCTAAGCCCCACCCCTTTGATGGTGAAACACAACGCCTGAAGCTGTTGTCAATAAAACAGCGATAAGACTTTTGCCTCCATTTTTTTGTGTCAAAATATTATTGTTTGTAATTTACGATAAACGTTTTACAAGTATTTTTTTGTGACTATTATTATTTTTAAAGAAATACCAATAACAGAAAATCATTCAGTTTCCTGAAAGGAGTTTCTATTGAACAGCTGGAGTGCGCAGAAACCACGTGACGGTGTGATCAGCTGGTGAACGCAAAACTGTCAAGAGTCTGGATTTCCCATTACTGTACATGTTGACAACAGAGCAGAAAAAAGGACTGACGATGTAGAAATCAGAAAAACTATTAATAATAATAACGTTAACCCACTTATTATTAAAAAGTTTATATAATCTATCTAATGTCAGAAAAGCTGTTTGTGTTATGGATTTATTAACAGAAGATAAACAGGAAAACGTCTCATTTCACAACACAAGTCAGCAGATTTGATCTTATTTAGCTCAATGTGATCTGAGCAGAACATAATGTAACAGTTTAAAATTAAAATGATCTTATAAAGTTGATGTAATCACTGTGGTTAGCAGATATTATCTTGTGGAGCATATAAAGTTTAGCACTGTTGAATCATGCATCAATTTAACACAAACTATTAAATATTACAGCTGATTTGTCCTCTAATATTTAGACCTACAGAGTTAAATAACATTATAAATGTGAGTATTTTAGGTTCCTTTTAGAGAAACCTGACTTGTTAAGATGATTAGTTAATAGAGACAAGTTTCATCCTATATCCAGAGAACATTTTCTAACTGTTGACTGATAAAAAATAAATATTCTTATTTTTATGACAGTAAGAAGAAATAAAGGAGATACTTTATTACTAGCTGAAGTCATCATTTTTCAACTAGCTAAAGTCTAAGTTACAGGCTGACTTCAGGTCTGGTTATAAATTATATATTTTTCTGGTATAAATCTGCTGTTTTACATGATTGTTGAATGAAATTAACATAGTTATTAATTTATTGTAAAAACATGACAGATAATCTGTGAAACAGATCCAGTTCAGCTGCTGTTTATTAGTTTCTATGGAGGCTGTGAGCTGTTGTCCTGTTTGGTCTGTTTCTGCTCCTCCATGTTGTCACAGACACCAGTGGACAGGATGGGCGGGGCTTAGTCTAGTGATCTATTATTTAAGTCTGTGGTTTCCTGAACAAATAGCGCCACCCAGTGGACATCYCTGACACCAATCACCTTCAGCATGCAATTATCCCAACAGACAAATTAGTTGGAAAGTTTTATTTAAAAAAATCATCCTGTGATTCGAGGATATTTTGACTCTGTTTTATTAAATGTTTTAGAAAAGATGCTGCACATCTTCTCTTCTGGCCTCTGAGTAAAAAACCTTCAAGTGACTGAAAAATGCCACCAAAGAAAAATTGTATCAGTAAAGTGGCAATACAAACAGCAAAGCTACTGTGTGACTACTGGAAATAGTGAATAAACTGGAGAACATGGTCAAAGAAAAAGATGTTTTAAAAAATTGACCAATTAGGAAAAATAATTGATCAGTGGTGGGCACAGTTCCTCTAAAGCACTCTAGCACTAATAGGGGAACAAATTTCCTGATTAGTGCTTTAGGGATTTTGCTATTTTTTATTTATTAGTGGATTAGCACTTGCTAAATTTGTGGCCTAAATTTAGAAGCACTAACTCAAGCTTTAGAAGTCATTAATTAACATCATTGTTAACAGCTGAGTGTGAAAGCTGTCACTTATTTTGTTCACAGGTGGGTCACCAGGTGACATATTGACTGTATTCTACACAATAAATATTGTCAAATGACATGAATAAAAAGACGATAAATTGAAAGATGTTTAAAAAAATGGAAGGATGTGTATGTTCATGATGTAAATAGAGCATACGCTGTCTTTATGAATATTTTGAAACACTTTATGAAAAAAAATGTATGCAAAAAAACTGCTAAAAGAAATGTTGACAAGCCGTGGATGACGAACGGTTAAGGAATGCTTATTAAAAAAAATAATTACTTGTATTCCTGCTTCTTAAAATGGAGAACAAAAGAATCAGAAGAGAGATACAAGAAATATAAAAACAAGTTGGTCTGGATTATAAGAAAACACAAGAAGGAATTACAGTGATTTATTAGACAAAAGTAATGGGAATATGAGGGCAACATGGCTAATAATGAATAGTGTTTTGAAAAATCATAAAACATCACCAGGTATCTCACATTATTTTGTAAAATATTACAAGGAAATATATGATCAAAATCAAATAGTAAATTAATTTAATCAGTACTATGCAAATGTTGGCCCAAGTCTTGCATCGAAAATACCAAAAGTTCATAAGTCATGGGTTGTGTCAATAGCATCTTTCTTGAAGAATCTGCTGTGGGGAGAAATACGGAGTATTGTAAAAAAAAATCTTGCAGATAAAAGATTAAAAGACTGGATGGACATGGATATGATGTTGGTGAAAGATATAACTGATTGTGCTATGGAGCCATTTACCTATATATGCAATTTATCATTTTCAACTGGTATATTTCCAGACAACATGAAAATAGCCAAAGTAATCCCTCTCTATAAAAATGGTGACAAATGTGCATTTAATAACTATAGACCAATATCCTTGTTACAACAGTTTTAAAAGATTTTAGAGAAATTATTTGTGGCTAGACTGGATCAATCTATCAAAGAACAGAATATTTTAAGTAGCAGTCAATATGGGTTCAGAGCAAATAACTCTAGTTCAATAGCTCTTATGGAATTGATGGAACAAATAACAATGGCTGTTGATCAAAAGCAATACTGTGCTGGTATTTATGTTGATTTAAAGAAAGCATTTGACACYACTGACCACAATATTCTTCTTGAAAAGCTACATAAATATGGCATTATAGGACCAGGTTATCTGAAAAATAGAAAACAGTTTGTACAGATAAATAAAGTAAGATTTGAATTATGTAACATTACGTGTGGAGTTCCCCAGTGTTCTGAACTTGGACCAAAGTTATTTATTTTATATGTGAATGATTTGGTTAATGTGTCAGGGTTGTTTAAATGTGTTTTATTTGCAGATGACAATACGTTTATTTGTTCAGGTAAATATATAGTATGGATGCTGGAAATGATGCAAACAGAATTTATGAAAATACAAAATTGGTTTAAACTTAATAAATATTCATTAAATTTAGATAAAACTAATTATGTGATATTCAGTAACAGACAGGGAGTTGTTGATGATTCTTTTAGAGATGATGGTGTTGAGATCTGTAGAGTCAGTGAGGTGAAGTTTCTGGGTGTCCTCATTGATGAAAASCTGACATGGAGACCTCACATAAATTATCTAAGAACAAAAATAGCTAAATCTATTGGAGTACTGTATAAAGTAAGGGAGTATTTAATGATAGAGCTCTGTATATGTTGTATAATGTATTCGTTGTTCCACACTTGATTTATTATGTTGAATTCTGGGGGAAAACATGTAAAACCTATTTATGTAAAACATGTAAACTCTATTTTTATTTTGCAGAAAAGAGCTGTAAGAATTATTACTAGAAAACACTACAGTCACCCATCAAATATATTATTTTATCAGTTGAAATTATTGAAGTTGGTTGATTATAATATTTTACAGGTTACGTATAAGGCTCAAAAATGTATATTACCTTTAAACAACCAATTAMATTTTGTTAAGAGAGAAAGTTGTTATGATACGAAGGGAGTAGAGATGTTTGTGAAAACTGGATTTCAAACTAGTTTGAGGGAGTGATGTACTTCAATACAAGGAATAAGACTATGGAACAATCTGGAGAGTGATGTCAAAAATGCCAGATCAATGTTTACGTTTAAGAAAATGATAAAAGTCACTTTGTTAAAGAAATATGAAACAGTATAATGTGTATCCATCCGAATTGCTGTTCAACAAGGATTTGAGGTTGTTTTATTTTTATTTTTTGCTTGTAGATTATTAATGTTTAAAAATACWAATTTTGGGAAGAAAATGGTGCAGGTACTATAAGATTTTTTTGTTCTTTCTGCCACTTTTCATTTTGTTTGTGATTTGTATTTTTATNCTGAAAAACATTCAGAAGAAACTACAAATAAGAAAAAAAAATAATTATTTTTGAAGGGTGATCGATCTGCATTAAAATAGGAAAGCTTTTATTGTGAAAGAAAAGTTTCAATTCCGGTCTGATGCTTCTGAGTCAGTTTTTTTTTTTTTTTTTTTTTTTGACTCGACTGGATCATCAGGTGGTCTCTAATCCAGACTTGGTTCCGTGTTGGGTTTCAGCACCGCGGTCAGCTCCGAACCCCTCCTCTTCCTCTGAGAGACAAGAGCCTTTCCACATCCACGGTTCCTCCCGAGTTTGTCCCCTCGTGGACCCCTCCCCCTGTAGGATTTATTCGAGTTAAATCCCTCCTTTCTGTCGCTGACTGCTGGAGTTACAACATCAGGACTGTGTGGAAGAGAAATCATTTAGCTTTAGATTTAGACTGACGCCAGGGTTCCCTCCCCCACCTCTTCTGACGAGAAGCAACAGTCTGCAGCTTTCATTAGTCTGGATTTGGATCTTCAAGCCGATCTGCATCGTTTTTTTTTAAATTTAATTTAATTTTTAATTTATTTTTTTTACTTAGTTTTAGCCTTGCTGCAGCTGTAGTCTCCCGCTAGCAGCAGCATGTTGGATCCGTCTTCCAGTGAGGAGGAAGGGGACGAGCTCCTCAAAGAGACACCGGCTCCAAAGAGCTTGGGAGGAGCGCCACCGTCCGCGGACCGAGGCAGCTCCGAGGGCCACGGCGGCGGAAGGCTTCAGCCCCGGGGCCGAGGTAGCGCCGGGGGGCGGCCTTCCAGTCCCAGCCCGTCGGTGGGAAGCGACAAGGAGAAGGAGGACCTGGAGAAGCTGCAGAGAGAGGAGGAGGAGAAGAAGAAGCGGCTCCAGCTCTATGTGTTTGTGATGCGCTGCATCGCCTATCCGTTCAACGCCAAGCAGCCCACMGACATGGCCCGGAGACAGCAGAAGGTAGGACCGCCTCACAGAACAACTGTTGCGCTTTCACTCCAACATCACGCTGTTCTGGAACAGTCGCCTTCATCGATGATCCGCTCAACACACCCACACCCACACAAACACACAAACACATTCAGACAAAAATCCAAAAGATCACGAATTTAGATGCAGGAAGTAGAGTTTATAGCCTAGTCACTGCGTCATTATCGCTCTCTGCTTAAACAATCATGCTGGTGTCTCTGTAAGTCTGTCTGTTAACAAAATACGTCATGTGCCACTGGACGGATTTTGATGAAAATATCAGGAAGTGGTCATTATATAGACAATTAAGTTTTAAGGGTCAGYCCGATTCAAGATGGCCGCCACAGCCATCTAAAGTTAAAATACAAAAGTGTCTGGAACCCCGTCAATTGTAACCCACTAAAACTGGGCAGTAGCTGGGTGGACTGAGTACAGTTCAGACACTTTTTGTTTTTCCCATTTCCACACAAACTACAC